ATAGACCGAGGAAGAAGAAGATACAATTTGGATCTTCGGGTTGATATTAATGGTGGAGATTCATTGGTTATGACCATTAAACTAGCATCCCCTAATTTATTTCATTACTTTTATGTCATTGTGGATTATTCTACCCTTCTCTTCATTCATTACCTATTCTTTGGCATTGACGCTCCACTATCCGTCTCTAGCTACTCCTGCACTTTGTTGCAACCTTCATTTCGGCCTCACATGGCACCGGAGTCACCAAACACATACTAAAGATATCACAATCGATGTGTGCGATGAAGAATGCTGACAACAAAAGTCAGGTGAGGCAGGGCACGACCCATGGGCTGTGCCAACAGCATGGTAGAGCAAAAACGAGAAATCAGATGATGAATGGTGGGCAATTGGAGAGCTAGCTAAGGTGAAGGTTAGTGGGACCAATTTAATGGGCAGGGGATGGTCTTAGAAGAAAGATAAAATTTAGTAGAACCTCACCCAAGTTAATTAATCCACTATCGAGTGTCATCCTCTTGACCCACTCAGTTTAAGCCTCTTTATGCACTCCACTAGCTCGATTTACATGATCTAGTTGCACAAAATACACGTGTGCTCCCACAACCAAGGTTTAAAAGTTATATAGGTAACTCATTTAATTTGATAACAGAACCCACAACCACCAAGCAATTATTATGACCATATACTCATACCCAAGGTTTATTGTCTCCCTTCTTTTCACTCTCAATTGCATGGCTTACCAGTGCTCCTAGTTTATCGAGAGGTAAAATAGAGTGTTTTCAGGAGAGAAAAAAATAGAGTGTTTTCCTCGGAAAAATTCCCACGACCATTTGTCCATTCATTCAGGCCCACGATCAAGGCCCATTCATCACATGACGTCACATTTCTTTCCCTTCTCCAATTCGTAAATTTCCTCCATGGACATGGATGCGAATGCCACCGACGATTCCGCCCCGCGGGCCAGGTGAGAGATGAGCCTCACGGCGGCCTTCCGCGCCGCTAAAATCCCGCGCGCTCTTCCCCCGAAGTGCGGCGAGCCAGCCGCCGCCGCCGCCTCGGCCTCGGCGTCCGCGAAGAGTAGTAAGGCATGTACCTTATCGCCTCCTCCCGGATCCCCAGCACCTACGTTGGCGTCACCAACGATTTCCCGCGCAGGTGATTCCTTGTCTCGGATAGTCGTCGTATAGTTGCTGCGGGCACGTTCGTGTAATGTTAGCATTTGGGGGAAGCCGCCCTTTGGAGTTGCAGCTTGTGACTTGTGAGTGGAACCACAAGAAATTGGCCCTATCCGGTTGCGATTGTTGCACGACAGTGTGGCTAGATCTTGTTAGAACTGATTCGACTGCTTTTCTTCATTTTCTAGTACTGCTTGCTTAGAGTTCCTACGCAGAGAGTTGGAGGAGAACAAAAGGAAGCTCTAGCAAGTGCTGAGCTCTTTTGTTTAAGATATTAAGATGCGCAAGCCGCAGGGTTCGTTCTAATTAACCAAAGATGTTAGACAAGCGCAGTTGGAATACATACACATGCCTAATCATATGCTGTTATGTGCTTGTCTTTCTGCTTAGCTTCATCATCATCGTTGTCCTGAAGTTGCTTCAATGCAAACATTGGATAAATGCATACCAATGGTGTTTATCAACCTAGTGGTTTGTCAGAGAATAGCGTTGAGTTGTGTTAAAATTCTATGAGTTGCCTTACTCTGGCTTGTAGGATACACATGTTTGAACATGCAAATCTTATTCACTTGTTTTCAGTAGGTATATATTAATAATAGCTAGAAGTTTAAGGAAGCATACAGTTAAAAGGAGCTTTTTTTTAGGTTGCGACAACATAATGGTGAGTTAAAAGGTGGTGCACAAGCTGCCTTTGCTGTAAGGCCTTGGAATCTTTCATGCCTTGTTGAAGGCTTTGCCAACCAGAAGTGAAGGTTAGTAGTAACTATCTGTTTTCTGGCTTACAGCTGGACTGCACTTCAATAGATTAGAACAGTCGCTTGTCATGCTCTAGGTTGTGTGCACAAGTACAACTTCCCAAGCTATTTAGCTTGGGATTACTAAAGTTACTTGTATTTGGAAGTTGGAGCATGCTAGGACTATTCTATATGTTTGTTCAGGCTTTAACCATCGCAGCAACTTGACTGCATGTCCTGTGTCCTGGCATCTAACTGAGTAGTTCATCTATCTTTTCGAGGTAGTTAATACTATTTAGCACTTAGCATTCAAATTTTTACTTCCTTTGTTTTCACACATAAAAATGTTAATACCATCAACAAGTTGGAGTGTTTGAATTCATAAATGCTTCTTAATGTAATGTTCAGCTTATTGTACTTACTAGCATCTGCAATTGCTGCATCAGAAAGGAAATGATCATTGGTTACTTGAGTTTGGAATAATAAAAAGATGCCTTATTTATCTGATTATCCTTTTGCAGCCTGTGAGTTTGAATGGAAGAACATCTCCTGAAAAATTGCACGGAAATGGATTAAGCCTAGCATGAAGTCAGTGTTGCAACATCGAGAAGCAGCATTGAGCAGAGTGGAAGCATTCATGGATTGTAGCCACCTATGCAGGTCAAGTTGAGATTATTTAATCATTCGCACTATGCAGGTGGTAGGCATCTAACTTCGAAAAATATCACCTCTTAAGAGTTAAGAGTCCCCCTGTCATCTAGTAGCTCATAGCAAAGATGACTTAATCTTCTACTGCATGATCAAGATGGCATCTGTTATGCTTCCTTAACATGAAAACGCAAGAGTAGCCCCAGTGTACAATTCTATGTTTGATTTATTTGTATGAGTAATTGTTTCCAAAGGATAGACAGTCTTCCATTATATGGATCATCTGATGCACCTATTTGTAAATGTAAATGATACTTATGTACTGTAATCACATATATTTCTTCTCTCATTCATCTTGGCCTTTTAGTGTAACTATTCTTTCTTCATTGCATTTTGAGCCATATTGTGCAGAATGCCATATGGAAATGTATGTTATTAGGATTTGAATATGTTGTTTACTAGCACAAGTATGCAACAATATAACAAGATGTTTACTTCTTTATGTTTTGACGATTCTCTTTGTCTATAGGAAACTTTGCCGACTTGCTGAATTTTACAAGTAGATTTTGCACAAAAAGAATGTAAATCAGTGATGCAGGGTTATGTTCCACCAGAACCTGCCATATGTATAACTGCTATGATGTGTTATATGTTCCTGTAAGGGTTAGAGCATCTCTGACAGTATGTAAAAAATTGAATGCTAAATTACCTGATTTTGAAACCTATTGTGTAAAAACACACACTCCACCAACAGTTCTGTTTCGTCCTGCCACCTAGTTCACACCTAGATCCTTCAAAATAGAATTTACATTATCTGCCGTACCTTCTCAAATCTCAAAATAGTGGCCGGAGATCCAACTCCGACGAATCTCAAGGAAGCAGTAACAGTCAGGCTATGGCCGGCCATCCTGACACCATAACTAACAGCTAGAACATTCAAAACAGAATCTCTATTGTCTGCTCTATCTTCATATTCTCATGTCTAAAGATAGTAAACTGATGGAGGTGGCAGGGCAACGGAGAGCGCCAAACGAAAAAAACAGATAGAGAGTATCGGCATATCTTTTTCACATGAATGCCTCGGTTTTCCCAAGCATTATAGGTTGGTAGTTTGGTTAAGTTGGACTGGTGTTTTCACCCATCATGCCAAAAAAAAAAATTGGGAGTGCATTAACCAAACTGTTAGAGATGCTCTTAGAACAAAGTTTTAATTTGTAAGTGGCTAAAAAAAGTTAGAAGCACATTTATTGGGATTCTCCAACCTTTTTCTAGAATCTCGCTTCTAAACACAGAAGACAATTTTGCATCACGGATCCCGGAATACTTCTATATGACCCAACCAATTTTAGACTTTCTTTTTTTCTTATACATTTACATTGAGAACCCTATCCTTATCATTCTTCCACATCCTTCCACCTATAGATTGGCCGATTAGTACATGAACTTATATCTTCGCGCACGATTTTTCCAAGTGCGAAAAGGTTGGAAGTTGAGATAAGGAGCTGATGGAGGGCGGGTTTTTTCGGTTTTGACAAAAAATCAAGATTGAGAGTGGGTATGGAAACTCTTGGAGAGATGCTCTTAGCCTCTTACATGCCTTCAGTTTCTTCATTCTATCTTTATCTTTATTAGTTTAATCAACTGATGATAGATATTGAAATAAAATAATAAACATATAAGTAATTCCGTCAATCACATGCACATCAAAAGGAAACCAAACATATTTCAATTACAGACAAATATTGGCAAAGATGTTTGGATTGGTACGGTCAAATCATTGGAGTGAACAAATAATGAAGCAGATTCACATGAAGTTACTTTCCAAGCTATACAAATCTCTTGCTTTGCAGTTGAAAATTGTATTCCTTCAAAATAAGATCTCTCCTGCCGCTCCACCAGAAACACGACCTCGTGGTTCAATATATTTCACTGTCTGGTTGCCTGTTATATACCATCACTAGTTCCCCACTACCATTTACAATCACGAGCACAGGAAAGATGATTAAACCCATTTGGTGACAACATAGCAAACACAATCACAGGAAATATTAAACACACTCAGCGACAACATAAGCACATACAATCATTGAATCACAGGAAAGTTTAAACCCATTTAGTGATAACATAAGGATACAGTCACATACAAGATTAAACCCATTTGGTGACAAAAGTCTAGTCAGATATGAATCGAGCAGCCAACTTCACCATGTATCCATGGGCCTGCCTGGTGTTTACACAAGGGGGCCTGCCTGGTGTTTACACAAGGGTATTTAACATAGCTAACACAGCATGCTAACTACCCTATAACTATATCTTCAGGCACATCAATTTTCACCTCACCTCAAGGCCTGACGAGGCACCTCACTCATTGGTTGAGGGATGGGTAACCCACCAAAATCTTGTGGGAAGAAGTTGAAGTTGGGCCCAAAATTAAATCTTACTACACAGTTGTGCTTGTTGGGCATAGTATACAACGATCCAGCTGGGTAATACCTCCCAAAATGTCCTCGAAGGCAAGGCCTTGGCTTACCCCATTCTTGAAATAGCATATCTTACTCCCTGCATATGCAAATTGTCAGAACAATAGTAAAATAATGGATACAGAAAATAACTGTAAAAGAGAGAGCATGTGACACATCATTTTGTATATTCAAGCTTTCTGAAAATAGTGTAATATAATGGAACCCAAAAAAGATCCATATATGTGCACTGAACACCCAGTATTCAAACATGTTAGCATTGATGTGATAACTAAAAAATCTCTCAAGCATATCCAATTGGGATTTCTTACTACCTTACACAAAAAATCAATGTTAAAGATGCACCTTATTCATATATGGAAGCTACAACAACATACTTCAATAGTTAAATATTGGAGATGCACCTTCTTGTTCATGTCGAGCAGCAACTATAAGGGGCAAAGGTGCTATGATGACAGGAAATATAGAGTCCAGAATGAAAAGGATAAATTTCCAATTACATTGTAAGCATCAATAGAGTAATAAAGCTCCAATTAATGGTATGAGTAAGCAGAAATATAACAATATCAGCATGCTGCATAAAGTAATAAAAGCTCCAATCCACTGGTCAGATTTATTTATATGCAATACACATTAGTTTAGGCTTTGGAGATTAATACAAAGATGAATAAATGGAACTACTACTATTCCATTATCCAAAAGTCGATCTGAAGCATACTACAAAGATGAGTTCCAAGAACCTTGTTTCCCCGAGCAGCCAAAAACAATTAGGAGCAGAAAAATGCATGTACTCCAACAATTCCCCAAGATCTGGTTAAAAAAAAATCAAATCCTACAGTACTGTTCATCAACGGGCAACAGCTAGCCTCTAGTACGTCAGCCATGCACAGTTGGCCATAGCAACGGTCTGGCTAGGGGCTGCCATGGTCAGCCATGGGCGGCAAAGGGGCTAGCCAAATCACGGAATCGACAGCGTGGAAAATGCAAGGAATTTGAAACAGATCGAGGAATTTGAAACATGCACTCACCTGGAACACGAGCCAGTGCGTCCTGCCCTTGCACAAGAAAAGGCTTGCCCTTGTTGTTCAGATGCACTTCAGGCTCATACCTCTCGCCATCAGGCAGAGAGATGTAGAACCCTAGCACATCTCCTTTTCCGTACCCTTCATGACCATAGTTGTTCCTCCAGTTCATGTGCACCTTTGCGCCATCAGTGTCACGGTACCCAAAGCCATACTCGCCACAACCGACGGGCATGTCGATGTCCGCCATGTTGGTTGCCCACCCGAGGCAGGTGTGGCCGGTGGAGCCGAGGTGCAGGACCTTGACCTCGAAGTACCACGCTCCGGCCGCGACGCCGTGCGTGGCGCGCACCATGCGGTAGCCCTTGGAGCTGGCGGCGGTGAGGCGGTCATCCGAGAGGACGATCCTCTCGGACTTGAAGACGCGGGAGAGGAGCACGGGCTGCCCCGGCACGCACTCCTCGGCGCCGGCGGCGCCGGGCCAGGGCTAGGCGGCAGGCGGCGGCGGCTGTGCTGCCTTCTTATTCTTGCGCTTGCGGGACGTGGACCTAGTCCAGATGGTGTTTTCGTCCCTCTTTGACCTCTTGGACTTCTTCTTGGGCGCCGGCGCCGGCTTGCTGCAGGATCCTCCGCCGCCGTCACCGTCGACAGGGGTTGCGAGACCCAAGGAAGCACGGGTAACGTGGAGGCTGAGGTTTCGGAAGGCGTCGGAGACTGATCCGCCGTACTCGCCGTGGACAGGGGTCGCGAGATCCGAGAACGTCTGGGTTCCGTTGAGGCTGGGGTTTTGGACGGCGGCGTCGGAGGCCTGAGCAAATGCGGCGCGTAGGAGCGGGGCTGGGGTGCCATCGGCTGCAGGCTGCATCGCGGGCGGCGGCGGCGGGGATGGAGGGGCCATCGGTCGGGTGCGGAAGGGCGGCGATGGAGGGGCTACCGATCGGGAGTGGATCGGAGGCCGGGGGGATTAGGGTTCCGAGTGGGGAAAGAGGAGAGCCCCGAACTGGCAAGGCACGGCGTGCGTGACTGGCCTGGGGGTTCCTCTTCTCCTCTGTCGTATCCTCGCGGGGACCGGGGAGCGGGCTGCCACCAGCGTGCCGCACGTGCTCGCCGCTGCCGTCCACGTCGCCACGCGCAGGCGCAGCCCGCGTCATCCATTTTGCGCGTCTCCCGCTGCAAACCGCCCAGGTTCAGGCGTCTCTATGTTCATATACTACGTCTCACTTGTTTGAATTGACACCCAACTTTCAACGCCGCCGTCGTGGTTTTTTTTAAAAAAAAAAAAAGGGCCGCCACGGTGTTTTCAGAGTTAGGGATTGGTCACAGGAGTACAGATGTTGTTGTTGGGTTTTAACTACTCTAGGTCTAGAGAAGATATAGGCAAGGTAGTGGAGGACATGAGGTATGGCGGCGGACTGGTGGTGCAGGTTTATGAGGCGGGGGTGGGACAACTATGGTCGGCAGTGCCGATGTCATTACTACAGCAATCTTAACCGTGATGGGCGAAAATGATTAACCGTGACGAGTAAAGAGGCCCGTCGCGGACAACAAGTCACGGTTAATCGTTACTTAACCGCAGTGGGCCCCTTTGCCCGTCACAGTTAATCAATTAACCGTGACAGGCAACTTACAAACGCCCGCCACGGTTAATGTTGATTAACCGTGACGGGCCACCCGGCCACCCAATAACTGTGACAGCCGTCACTTGTGCCCGCCTTGCTTAATAGTAGGCTGGTGTCACGCAAAATCAATTCTGTAATAGTGTGTTTAGGGAGAAAAAAATAGAGTGCTTAGGATGAGTGGTGTATAGACTATAGTTGGAGGGCTAGCCAGAGGAGAGGAATGTTAGTGGGACAATAGGTGGGCGGCAGTAGACCGAGGAAGAAGATACAATTTAGATCGTCACTTAGATATTAATGGTGGGTTCATTGGTTACGACCATTAAACTAGCATCCCCTAATTTATTTTACTACTTTTATTGAATGTGGATTATTCTGCCCTTCTCTTCATTCATTACCTATTCTTCGGCATTGACGGTCCACAGTCAGTCTCTAGCTCTTCCTCCACTTTGTTGCAACCTTCACTTCGGCCTCACATGGCACCAGAGTCACCAAACACTTACTCAAGCTGTCACAATCAGTGTGTGTGTGACGAAGAATGCTGGCAACAAAAGTCGGTGAGGCGAGGTACGACACATGGGCGGTGCCGACAGCGCAGTAGAGCAAAACTAAGCAATTAGGATGATAAATGGTCGAGAATTGGAGAGCTAGCCGATGAAGGTTAGTGGGGGCAATGGTCAGGGGATGGATAAAAGAAGAAAGATGCAATTTACGAGAACCCCACCCAAGTTAATTAATCCACTATCGAGTGTCATCCTCTTGACCCACTCAGCTTAAGCCTCTTCATGCACTCCACTAGCACAACTTACATGATCTAGTTGTACAAGATACACATGTGCTGCCACAAATCGAGATTCAACTCAACACGGGTAGCGCACATGAAATTAAAAGTTATATAGAAACTCATTTAATTTGAACATAGCAGAATCCACAAGCACCAAGTTACAACCATAGTCGTACCAAAGTTTATTGTCTATCCTTTTTCACTCTCAATTGCATGCTTGATTACTCATGCTCCTAGTTTATCATACAGAATGGATTGGAGGCGTCCGTCTCATCCACTTCATATGCCACCGACCATACTTGAGCTAGCTTTCTCATCACGTGGCCATCACAACCTCCAATAACATGTAACAGTTTATTAATGACAGTGTCGTGAGTAGTATAAAGTTACTCAAAGGGCTTTTCAGAGTTACTACAAGGTATATTTATATTTGCATAAAGACGGGGTATAGTTCTACATGGTAAATATATGGAAAAATATGGCATTTAAAAGCATTGAAGTCTACACATTCTTTCATGCATATACAAGGAACTACAAGTCAAGCCAGATGTTTCATAGGCCAACATCACATGTCTACTCTAAGAGCTGGAAGCCAAGAAATTGCTCATATCCTAAAGTGCAGTACTCCAAAATGATTAACAACAACCTTGTAGAGGTGTACAACTTTTCCCATAATGATCACAAGACCGAACCACCATATGCTTGTACTTGGGTAAGCGTCTATTCGTGCCTTCAACCTTTCCATGCTTGGTCAAGTCGTCCAATGCACGATCAAGATGTGTAGGAGCACTAGATTTTCTAGCTACTCTTCGCCGCAAATCACACTGAAGCCACTAATAGAGATTACCGGGTCACAACATATGATACTCGGTTTATCATTTCCATGACATGATATGTAGTGAGTACGGAAGGTGTTAAAGACTCCTAAAATAGATGCTAGTTCAAAAGAGAGTTAATAAATCATTCAAGACCCCACCTCGTTGTGACCTTACTCCTCACTGAGCTGAGTTGTCATCATCCAAACTCCTTGACGACCTTGGAAACATCCTCATTAGAACCATTTCTAAGAATGGCTAAACAAGATTATTGCTACCATTCCCATGGATGAATAGTTCTATACATGCTGACTCTAAGTCAGTGAGTTTATACTAGGTGAAGCAAGATTAACTCTAACATGCATAATAAAATGATGACCTCATGGACTTAGGGCCGCCATTATGGACATTAGCGCCTCTCACTAATGTGGTTGTTCCGGCATGAGTCATTAGAGACATATGAGCATGACATTATGAGATAATAGAAAGATTTGGAGCAATTAGAGCTAGAAGATCGGGTTGATAGAGGAGCATGATGTTACTCCCATGGGGTGGGCTTCAACAAGAAGATTATTGTATTCTTGGCATGGGTAGGTTGGTGTGTGCTCCTAAAAGGATAAGACGGTTCTATAGGCTTAAATCTTGGGTGCAACTAAATGTTTCTTTTCAAGGTAAGCTCATCCATACAAAGATTAATTAGGGATGGTCAGATAAGGCCAAAAGAAAGGTACTCAACCCAAACAGAACTAACCACTTCTTGCACCCAAGTGGCGGTGGGGCAACACTTGTCTTGTGCACCAAGGTTTCACTCAAGATTATTGCAAGGACTCTAATAAGAGGTCAGCTAAACTTGATAAGATGACAAGTTTGTAATCTTTGTCAAGGTTTAGCAAGAGATTTTGATAAAGCTTGGCTTGGATCGTTACACAATTTGGTTTGTGGGATTGATATCAAGTTATCCATGATGGAGATTCATTGGATGAAGTTTCCTAATTTTTAGGTTGCTAAACTATAGCCTCTCCCTAACTTACTAGCTACTTTCAAGTAATTGTGGACTATTGTCCCCTTCACACTCTTTTGTCATTCTGTCCTTTTCTCTTCGTCAATTCTCAATTATGGCATCGATGCACCACAACCAATCTCTAGCTACTCTTCGACTCCATTGCAACCTCCGTTGTGCCTCATGCGGCACTCAGAAGCACCCCAAGCACCTACTCATCCAGCCTTCACAAGTAGAGTGCTTTCCTCCTAATTGGGCAAATTTGAGTTTTTAGCATTTGGTTCGTGACATAAAAATACTAGCCTTTTTTCTAAATACTTAGCGACTTTTTATCCATGCACATTTGTTAAAAGGTGATCAACTTTTCTAAAATGAAATGAAAAATGTGCCTTTATATCGTTACTTTTAAGTGTTTCCAAAACATTCCCGCATAGTAATTTTGTAGGGCAAAATAGAAGTTAGTATTGAGAAATGCGACATGCCAAGTAATTTGAATGAAATAAAGTGCTGAAAAGAGTCAAGTGTTTGGAAACACAGGTTGATATATATACACTATATATGCATGGTTTACACTTTATTGATAATAGTTTAATTAGAAACAAAAATATGATTGCATTAACAACACATCAATGATTGTGTGTTAGATATAAATTATTTACAAAATATGATAAATTAACATATATAAACTTTAAGCTCATTTGGGTCGGGTGACAATGTAAAAGAAAAAGGAAAGAAAAAAAAATGAACAACGCATGGTGTACCTTAGTGGGACTGCAGCAGGGTATAGTTCTTAATTTAGTCTTGCGCACTCATACGTGAGGGACCTCTAATGACAAGGTAGGCTCGATCGAAGCAGTCGTCTGGAGCCTGCTTGTCTCCCTTTTTTATACAGGTAATAAAGAGTATATTAGAACAGCAAAAAACAATTACAACGAGAACAACGAAAGAAGGTCGAACCACATCTATACCCCCGAAGGGGTGCCACACACACGCAAACATCGACATGAGGTAACATGAACTGTAAGGAGCCAAATAGTCAAGCACACCGACGGCAGCGACGAACAACACAGCGCTGACGAGGGTAGCTGTAACCACCTAAAAATCTCAACTACAAATTTTTTTCTTCTTTTTCCTAGAAAC